TTCTTTGCCAAAAATTTAGTATGCTCTTGACATCCCTGTAATTTTTGTTTTAATTTTCATTTGTGTTGAATTATGGAAAAGAAAAGAAAAACAAATATTTCTGTCAATTTAGTCCTTATTCTAAAAATAACAAATTTAGCCATTGGCCTTCACAAAAGGTGTAAATTTTGTATCGAATTTTAGAATAAAGTCAAATTGGTATAATTGAACATTAAGGAATAAGACATAATGCAAACAAATACCCCAAACGTTTGATAGTATTATCAAATTACCTGTATTGTTTTTCTGGAAAATTTGATCCTCAAACGTTTCATTATGGTTCAAAAAGAACTTTCGTTAGATGGAAACCGTTAGTCAACTAAAGGTCAACGCATGGTACTGACCAAACAAGAACACGTGGACCTAGGTGCTGATGTGGTGTGTCCAGATCATGATAGATGATGATGTGGCACTACCACATCATATTTTTAAATAAAATTTAAATATTATTCTTAATATTTATATATTTTTTTTAATATTTTCTGTCCAATAAGATGATGACACATGTTAACACTATATTGGTTTAAATTTAAACCAAACAAAACATGCTTTTGTGAGGAATTAAACCACTAAATACTTTAAATCCCATCACCTAACTATCAAGTCAAAACTTTCATTTGATTATCTTTTGCATTACAAAATATTTAACAAACACATTATTTATCCTCTCTTCACATGCTTATTAACCGTTGGTGAATGACTGTAGAAAAATTACACCAAAATAAATTCAACATCTAACAGCAGCAAAAATATCATATAACTGATTAATTATAAATCTAACATGTAAAAGATTGCGTAGCTTTATCAAACGCCGGGCCGACAAGTAAGGAACTTAGAAGCTTGAACAGTTAAATCATAATATTCCAATCCATAACCTAAATTAACACGTTAAAAATTCCTACTTAATACCAGCCGTCCATCGGAATAAATCGAACGGTCACTCATCCGACGGTTACTGGTGTGGGGCCGATCCTTTCGAGGATGGGTGTTTAAGAAATTTTAAAGTTGTCACGTTAAAATTGTCCTTTAATTTTAAAATTTAAATATATATTTATAACTTGATGAGACATTTTCATTTATATTAACATTTAATAAACCCTCTCAAATTGATTTAAATTTTAATTATAAGAACTCATTAAATAGCTAAGTGATAAAAATATTATCTTTCTCTTTAAATAATTATATTTATAAAATATATAAATTATAAATTTAATAAAAAAATCTAACACGTACTCAATTTTTCCTTACCGATAATTGTTCTTTTTAGGATTCTCTTCCACCAAAACGTAGGAGAATCTAACACACGCTTGAAGAGGAAGAAGGATAACGAAAGAAAATTACATGGAATAATCTATTTATCCATCTATATATTCATTATAATGTTGACTATTCTATTTCCGACACATCTTTTATTTTTTTTTCTCATTTTCATCACTAAGTTTAGCTGTCGTGGTAAAAGGAGAAACAATAGTGTATCTGATATGTCCATTAACCAAAGTTTCCCATCCATATTTACCCCCACCTAAATTAAATAACAAAAGCTGAACTTAAATGCCATCTAAGAATCTGGTCCTTTTCACCAAATGAAATGATGAGGACTGAAAAGACTAATATATGGTAAAGTAGGAGCAGAAGCATACACTAATGGAGGTGTCATTTTCATACATTTTCAAGGACCCGGTTGATGTGATTTTCGCAGTCGTTTTTCTGTTGGACCCATAATTAAATTTTGACGTGAATAATTGGGTTAGAGTCGTCTCATATCATTTTAAAAATATTTAGATAGATCGGACATCATTTTACTTAATATGTGTTTTGTTAGAAATGTGTCGGGTTCGGGAGTCGATTACAGTCAAATAAGGATTAGATCCCTTGTACTGCCATTCGATACCAATTAATTTTTCGGTTGTCTTTAATTTCGAAAATTAAAATTTAAATAGAAATTTAAAAACCCGATTTGAATTACTTACCTTTTATCAAATGAAATTACTGAAAAAGACAAAAATAATGTTCAATTGAAAAAAATTAAAGATATTAAAATAAAAGGAAAAAAGGTTTTGAAAAAGATGAATAAATAATAATAATAATTATTATTATTATTAAAAGAGATGATTAAATAATAATGAGAAATAATAAAAAAGGGAAAATAAAAAAAATAAGAAAATTAAAAGAAAAAATTAATAACAAAAATAAAAAAAATGCTTAAATTAAAAAGAAAAAAAAATGAATAACTAAACCTTTAAAAGATCAAAATGAATGATATTCAAAGATAAAATGATTGAACCAAGGAATAACACTTTATAACCCCATACACACGCGGGTGACATGAAACAAAGGAATCAAGGTCTTTTAAAACCCATGAATTTCACATATAACATATTTTAGAAGTTATTTTTTTTCTAATATTCGACTTGAATAGCGTCATTTCTTTCAAACTTCAAGCATAAGAGAAAAAAGGAATTTTCAGTCCTTTTGCCTTCGATTACCTGAGATTGAACCATTGGATCGAGCCGCGGTCGGAGTATGTTTATCCTCGCATCCTCATCTACTGCTTGACCGCTCGGATTGTCACAAAAGGGCCAAAATCGTTCGATCTTCCTTGCTCCGATCTGTCACTGTTCACCGTTGGTTCGCCTTAATTTTTCAGTATGTTATTTGTGGCTCTTCGTTCTCTTATTTCACCGTTCAGATCGTTGAAGGGAGCCTCCTATTGCCGGAAATATGCCTCGACCAAATGGGTAAGCCCATCTCCTTATTCTGGATCTTTTAATCTTTTTTCTTCTAATCTCGGTCCTTTTACTTCTTTCAGTTTCGGGTCACCCCAATATAAAGTTTGAAAATGCTTCATTTATCATTGGCATGAGGACTCAGTTCACGATGAACCCCGAATAATACCGAGAGCAGATTATCGTCTTGCGAAACCTCTCTGCCAACGCTTTTGTCGCATGAAATGTTTCATCTGATGTGTCGAGTCATGGAGATGGAACTTGTATTAGATTCTAAAATGGTTGAACTCTTAGCAATCTTATCAAGTTCGATAAACTTTTCCTTCACGTCTTCTGATTCTACAATTGCTTCGAAAATGAAATCAGCTGATTGTAGGTCTTCTATATCTGAAGTACATTCAATACGTTTCAAGGCTTATGCACGAGCAGCCTGGGAGAGTTGTCCTTTGGAGACAAAACGTTAAAGGGAAGAAGAGATGGATTGAGTGGCTTTGGAAAGAGCAACAGGATCAGTATCAAGAAGCCAAACAAGGAGACCGTGCATGGCACCAAGTTGAGCTATGCATGAACTCATTTTTCCACTGCCCATCACCGCTAAACTCTTTGTTTTTCCCCTTTTGTGTTTTTCATTTGTGCATGTCCCCCCATTTCGTATGATTTCCTCGCTTATTTATAGTACTCTAAAAGCCTATTTTTAGGTTCGATTTAGAGTCCTATTTAGACTGAAATTACTGGTTTGTTGAGAGTTTGACTTGGTTATGGCCGAATTTATCGGGGATGTGGGTTAAGATATTGACGACGAAAAATTAGTGTCTACAACTGCCTTTCTATTTTATTTTTCGTGGAACGAAAAATAGGACAAAGATAAAATGACACAAATTTTCATTCGGTGCACATGGGCTTGTAAACAAGCCTACTCCTGTGAGAGTTGTTGACTCCTGAGCTTGTAATCCAACTCAAGGTTGTCGTTGAATTCTTGTCAACTACCCTCTACTGTGGAGTTGAGATTCAGAAAATAAAAAAGAACGACTCCATGTTGTTGAGTCATGTTGTGGGTAACTCCGGAGTTGTCTTTGAACATGATATTCTTCGTTTTGAAATTGAAAATGTAGTTCGGAATTTGAATCGGCATGTGACTTCTTGTTGCTTAGTCGTAGTGAAACTTGATCTTCTTCTCAGTTTAAAGACATCGGTTTGAAATTTTGACTGGAAAATAGTTCATTGATACTACCACGTCGTTGAAGGGAGGCTCTGATCGCCATAAATATGCCTCGGCCGAATGGGTAAGCTCATCTCCTTATTCTGGTTCTTTCCATCTTTTTTCTTCTAATCTCGGTCCTTTTACTTCTTTCGGGTTCAGGTCACCCCAATATAAAGTGTGAAGAATGCTTCATTTATCATTGGCATGAGGATTCAGTTCACGATGAAGCCCGAATAATCCCGAGAGTAGATTACCGTCTTGCGAAACCTCTCCGCCAACACTTTTGTCGTATGACATGTTTCATCTGATGTGTCGAGTCATGGAGATGGAACTTGTATTAGATGCTAAAATGGTTGAACTCTTAGCAATCTTATCAAGTTTGATAAGCAGCTTTTCCTTCACGTCTTTTGATTCTACAATTGCTTCGATAATGAAATCAACCAACTGTAGATCTTCTATATATAAAGTACGTTCAATACGTTTCAAGGCTTCTGCACGAGCAGCCTGGGAGAGTTGTCCTTTGGAGACAAAACGTTAAAGGGAAGAAGAGATGGATTGAGTGGTTTTGGAAAAAGCAGTAGGATCGGTATCAAGAAGCCAAACACGGAGATCGTGCATGGCACCAAGTTGAGCTATGCCTTAACCCAATTATCATATACTTTAAATATTTTTTTAATACTTTATTTTTTATTTTCTTATAAAATTTAAAAATAAATCGTATTTTAATATAAAATTCTACATTTGTTGATAGGAAATGGAAAAGGGGCCTCCTAGAAGCATAGAACCTTCCATGTAGTTTTTTTTTATTGTCATCAAACATTTTGGGGTTTGCTTACCTTAGCAATCATGGGTTCACCAAGCCATCATTACAACGGAAGAGAAATCCAATCTCTTGCTCTTTTTATTCTCCCTTTCTCTCATAATTATTGCATAGCCACAGCCAGCTGCCTATATAACATGTCGAAAATTATTCACTACACCAAACATCATTTATAGGAGCTTACACCCCTCTTCTTTTTCTCTTCCCCCTTCACTTTCAATATTTTAACTACTTTTTCATTCATTTGATGATCATTTTTTCTAAAGTTTAGTAGAAATTAAATAAACCATAACAAGATGTGCAACATGGCTTGGAGCCCATGCCCTCCTCATCCCACCTTTGCTTCTTCTAAGAGAAGGCATAAATCAAAACAATCCAAGGTTCAAATTTGCAGGCTTTCCAGGTAGACATGCATATGTATGTTTTATTTTTTTTCATCTACTACTTTTCACGTGTTTTTTTTTTTTGTATATGCATGAATATGCTTTGATGGTTCTAATTTAGCAAAATATGTTTAGGAAAAAGTGGGAAGAAAATGTGGAGAAAGACATGGAACTAATGAACTTGAAGCTGTACCTGGAGAACCAAAGCATTATTGAAGAGAATGAGAAGTTGAGGAAGAAAGTCAATCTTCTTCATCAAGAAAGCTTTAATGTCCGAGTACCAGAAGAAGTTCATTCGAATCGTTTTCCGACCACCCTTTTGCTTCTTCTGCAACAAAAAACATTGATGGTGAAGCTTAAGAAATACTTAATTATTTTCATCCTTGATCCCTTTTAGTCTCTCTAAAATTTTCACCCTTGTCTTTCTTTGATGATGGATGTATGTTAGCAACATGGGATTTTGTAGCTTGATGTTTTGTTCAACTCCTGATTAAAGATAAATGATGGAATTTCAACGTTTTCTTAATTAGGCTGTAATCTGCATCTTTTTCTCACTTTGTTGTCATAATTATTTATTTTTCATAATCATCACTTATAATCATCACTAACTTTAAATTTTTGTTTTATTTTGGTCATCGTTAAAAAAATTAAAAATAATGCTGATATGTGTAATGACACATCATCATGAAAAAATTATCACGTTAATAGTTTTGTTAATTTTTTAACGACAGATGTTGTTTACCTTTACTTTATTACTCAAGAACTCATGATTGCAATTTAACACACTTCAAACAAATCTATGATATTGTTCAACAAGAAAATCATAGAAAATGATAAGTTGCTCAGAGAACAAGAAACAGATATTGACAATAGCTGTCACATGTTAATGGAGTAAAAGATTTTTCAAGAAACTATAATTTAAATCCCAGAAGAGAGGCTCAAGTCAAACCAATTGGTTAACAAACTGACCAGGCGCAACAAGGGAGAGGTTTTTCATTATAGATACAGCTCAAAACATGATAACATTTTATTCTCAGGCTGTTTATAGCCATTCCCAGATAGCATTTTCCCTTGATAAAATCTGATTTTGTCACCAATGGGGAAGCTTCCATCTTTCTAACTCTTTTCTGCAAAAGGTCTATTGTTGTAGCTTTCAAGTGGCACTTGACCTAATTGAGCTTTCCTATAGAAGGATGGCACACAGAAGTGGAATATTGAATATTCCTTTGGGCACATTCAATGGATCATAGATTTGGAAACTTCATAGCTTCTGGGAACGTTTATCTGATGATTTGCAGATACGAAATGCAGCTAAACACATAGTGGCGTTACCTATTACTGTCAACGCAGCCTGGAGAGCAACCAATACCTGCAATTTATTGCCAGAACAGAGTGGTTTAAGACGTTTTGTTTCTAGACTCATCCTATTCACATCAAACGCACAAGCACATAGGCTACAAATATTAATCATCACTCATCAGCAAAGCAGTCTAATTGTCAGTGAGCTGGAGTATGATCATCTTATGCAAATACTTTTAGGCAAAACATTTACGAATGCATAGCAAAAGCACATCCATAACATGAATAATATGACTTTTATGGATACTAATACTAGTTCATGGTAATTATCAGAATATGCATATTGAAACTACTGAACATATTTCTAGGTCTTATTTCTTGCTAGAAAAATCCAATTATTAACCCCGAAGTTCAAGCTCTATTTTCAGTCATTTTGTTTATCAAACATTATAGTTTCGGTTGCACTAGTGTTATACATTAAATTTTTGGTGCTCAATTGTTGCATTCACAATTCTGAATATAAAATTTTCTGAAGTTTGTCTATTTGTAAGCATACATAGGACAGTACACGAGCTCGACTCGAAAACTTTTAGACCAAGCTCTACTAGACTCGATAACTCGTGAGCTTAAAATTGTCAAGCTCCACTTGATTCGAAAGCTCGCGAGCTTAAAATTTTAAAACTCCACTCCAAAAATCTGAAGCTCGACTCGAACCCGAGCCTTAAGTACATAAAAGTCTTATATTATATATTTTTCAAAAAATAATATATAGAAGTTAATTATATTATATTTTCGTGTAGTTCTTGAGCTTTTCGAGTCGAGTTCGATCTCGAGTCGAGTCCATTTGATTTGAGTATTGACTAAGCTTTGACCAAATCGATCTCGAATAGCTCGCGATCTGTCTCGTCTCATTTACAACCCTAAATACATAAGGCTAACCGCTTTCATTATGAAAAGCATTGAGAACATACAGGAGCAAAAACTACAAAACCGACACTCGTCTGTGATTCAATATAAGCTAAATCCATCATTGTAGTGTTTCTTTATCAATTCATCATAGTATCTCAACTAATTCAAACTAGTCTTTGCATTCTTCCATAAAGAAGGATAAGAAAGCAGAGTAACTTGTCAGTTCTTACCTCAAGAGATTCGGAATTGTAAAAGAAATGCCATGTACATGCACAAAATGCTCCACCAAGTAAAGGTACCTAAAACACAATAATTAAATCAGGCAAAAGTAGAAACTTAACCTATAGATGCTTGATAGAACATATCATTAAAACCTATCACACTGAGTTGTATAAATAGATAAATGAATCTGTTGGAAGGATTTCCCAACAAGAGCAAGGAACGGAAAAGCTATAGAATAATATCATTGCACAAACTTTAACTACTAATAGATATAAGAGCTCAGGAGCAAAATCCTTATTTTTGAGTTAAAATGGAAACATAATGAATTCAGGGGATAGATCTATCAGCAAGAAGTTGGTACTCTACACATTCAGGTTTGAGTGATCAATTCCAGTCTAAAAATGTGTTTTTCCCTTGAAGATGACACCCAAAAAAATGGTTCCATGACAATTCATGCATCAGTTAAAATACTTATCTTTATCTAGACGATGATAGACTGTAAGGAAGTATCACTAACAGAACTTACAAGATTAAGATGAAAAACTCACCATACCCCAAGAAAGACCCTTCCACGATTCAAACCCAGATTTCTCTCCATATTGCCACACCAAAGCCATTGCTGTTATCCTTTTGTCAAGACAATCTCATTAGCATCCTCATCAAGCCACAAAGAGAACGATGATTTCAATTCAGAGGATACAAAGGGAATCATAACAGTTTTTATCAAGTGACATCCTTGGAAGGAAATATTAACAATGATGTTTCGCTTCTTAATTTGTTTCACTGAATACCCATTCAGTGGTAAAAGAAGTGTTGTTATTAGTTGAGGACTTGAATTCAAGCACCATGGATGTCAAGAGGGTATGAGGGTTCAATGTCAAAAGATTGACATTTATCTTTGGACAATACGGCCTTATACTCACTCCATATTAATTAAAAAAAACCATGAAAATAAAACACATGAAGATGAAACCAAATATCCGAAGTTAAAGAGAACAAAATATCCTCACCATTCAACAACACTGGAGACGTGTATGACCCAAGTGGGCAGAGACAAGGCATTGGCGAGTTCACTGAGCTGCAAAGAAGTGCCCAGCAACAACGGCGGTAACTCGGAGGCCGAAGCGGAACCCGCAAGAGCCAAGGCCAGAGCTGACCCGACTATTCCAATCGTTGGTTTCGGGTTCAAAACTAAGCCCGCAGTTGACAGCTTTCGGGTCCGTGGCCTGGTTTTCTGAGGAATTTCGGAGTGACGAAGAGTTGGAATAGTATGGATCTGTTTGAAAATGGGTTTAGGAGAGCAGAGGAGGGTCACGTTCACCATCGTTGGAGATTTTGGCAGTGATTTCTTTAGTTGGCCAGATTTACTTTCCAGAGACTCATTTTTAAGTATTTTATGGGGAGTCTATTATTTTTGGCATACATTAGATTCAGAAAAGTAAGTTAAATAGTTGGAGTAGTTCCGAAGAAGATTAGGTTCAGATGAGGGTGTGGTTTAAAACTTATGACAGCATCAACACTTGCACTGATGTAATTAGCTCAGCTCCTTTACTTGGTATGCCAAATTTACTGAAGTCATCACTCAGCACAACAGTAGAGAAAATTAGGTATGATTTTGTAAACTGCAGGTGTTAAAACATACCAAAAGTGAAACCTTAAGTACTAAACGCGTAATTTACCCAAGGTTCTGATTACATCCACTTGTCAGTAAAGAAGCCGTACAATGATTTCATTCCATTTTCAGCAGACTGCACTCCATCGATCCGATTAATTCAACTTCCCATCGAAGAAAAAGTTTATGCATCAAATACCAATGGATTGACACATGACCTCATCATCCTGCCATCATTCCGTTTGGTTTGCCCAAATCATGAACAGAGCGAAGCCCATCAAAGACATGATTACAGTCTGCAGATCCCAAAAATGAGTCGGTTACGAGCAATCGGTTTTAACCAGAACCAACTATTTCGAACCCCTAAATAAACATAAGAAAGAGCATTTGAGGAGATGGGATATGGATTGTAGGGAACTAAAAAGGAGCTTATGCAAAAGCAGATGCTGTTATATGATTCCTTGGGGGAAAAGGTAACAAAAATGCTTACGGAGATAGCCGGAGGCACGCTCACGAGTGGATCCCGAAAGAACCGATTAGCAAGCGCAAATGCTGCAATACTAAATATTAGTGCAAACGAACAAGATGGAAGAGAAAAGGGTTCTCACCTGTGCCTCAAAGGATAGAGTTCTTTTCAAGGCTTTCACAATATGGAAGACCGGACCACTGAAGAAATAACCAGCTGATAAATGGAATGCAACAATGAGCAACCAAAGAGTTAAACCAAATGGGGACAAAACCGAATTAATGTTAATAGTGAGTGGCGCTCCGACATAACACGCTGTATCAAGTACAGAAAGCGGCTGCAAAAATGGCCTCATGGCGTTACAAAGATGCCGGAACAACCTGCAAACACATTAGAAAAGGACTTCTTTGAAGATATTATCAAGTTCAACCACATTTTGGGGTTAGCGTTTCACCGATTCAGAAGCAATCCTGCTGTAATAGGAGCAATAACAATCTGCAGAATACTAGAAATCATTCCCATGACAATAACGGGCGGTCTTTTCCCGGTAAGCAGGGAGAGACAGTATTGGTGTAACAAAAATAGCATTAGCCGTAAATAACGATGTCATAACAACGCTTAAGTGACAGATCTGTCAAAAATGTATAGCATAATTCGAGAGTTGGGCACCACTTACCCAGGATACCAGCATAATTCCATGTTAAGCATTGCAGTAGGCAAAGCTTGAATCAAACAAAATATCAGAAATATTTCATTAAGCGTGTATTACACATTACCTAAGCTAACTTCTTATAGCAAATTCATAACAGACTTTAACAAACTAACAGCTTCTAGAATAGTTTCCTAACAGACTTGACACGTATGCAAGCTATATTCATCAGTTACAATCCAGCTCCCATATATGCCATGCATGAGCTACTAAACCACGTGAATAGCATCCTCAGCTACCTTATGTATCTCAAAATTCTCCCCGCTTCTTCTTCTTCCCTTCCTTAACAAGACAATACATGCAGCTTTTCTCGAAACTGCTCAAATGTTGGTCTGGTCAGTGGCTTGGTTAGACCATCAGCCACTTGAAACACAGCAGGGACATAACTGACTCGAAGATGACCAGCTGCAATCTTTTTCTCGGATAAAATGCACATCCAGTTCAACATGCTTGGACCGAGCATGGTACACGGGATTTACACTCAAAGCAACAACACTTGTGTTGTCACACCAAATCACAGGTGCATCACGCAAGGACAACCAAATCGCGTAGTAAAGCAGCAAGCCAAGTGACTTCAGCAGCTGAATCAACAATGCTCCTGTATTCAGCTTCTATTGTCGACCGAGAGATTGTATTCTGTTTCTTGGAATTCCACGCAACCAAACATCCTCCAAGGAATACACAATACCCAGACATGGACCTACGATCACTGGCATCACCAGCCCAATCTAGATCGGAAAAAGCTTTGAGACATAACCTAGCATCACTATCCGAAAACACCAGCCCATAATCCAGTGATCCTGCTAAATAACGCAGGATGCGTTTGACTGCTACCAAATGTATTTCACGTGGAGACTGCATGAACTGGGCCGCTTTATTGACTGCGAATGCTATGTCCGGATGAGTATGACAAACATACAAGAGAACTCCCACAATGTTGCAATATTCTCAAGCATTAGCTAGTAGAGCACTACTTTGATCAGCAGTTTTTGCAGCTGTAACCATAGGAGTGCAAACAGGTGTTGCTTGACTCATATTGGCTTTCTTCAATAAGTCAAAAATATAAGCTCGTTGACTCAACACTAAACCAGAGGCAAATCTCTTAACTTCGATTCTTAGAAAATAGGACAACTCACCTAGATTTTTAAGGGAAAAGCAAGTACTAAGCATGTGAATGACCTGATTAACAACTTCAGATGTGTCTGTTATTATAATGTCATCTACATACACTAAAGCATACGTACATAAATCATCTTGAAGCCTAACAAAGAGGGAAATATCTGCCTTAGATTCAACAAATTTTAATTCCAACATGATGGCTTTAAGTTTGTCATTCCAATTGTACGGGGCTTGGCGGAGACCATAGAGGGCCTTTTGCAACTTACACACCAATGGAGTACCATCTGAAGCACATTGCTCAAACCCAGGTGGCTGCTGCATATACACGTCCTCATGCAAGTCACCATTTAAAAAATCATTATTGATATCAACTTTTCTTAAGACCCAGCCTCGAGCAACAACCATGGTCAAAAGTACATACACTGTTGAGAATTTCACAACTGGGCTAAATGTATTCTGAAAGTCAAAACCAGGGACTTGTGTAAATCCTTTTATAACTAGTCGAGCTTTGTACCTAAGCACAGATCCATCAGGATTCTGTTTGAGCTTAAAGAGCCACTTGCATCCCACCACATTTATGTTAGCAGGCAAGGGAACAAGCACCCATGTTTCATTCTCAAGTAAGTCTGAATATTAAGCATGAACTGCTTCAGTCCATGCAGCAGACTGAAGAGCCTCTTTGATCGTGGTTGGTACAACATCATCAAAGAACGTTGTATACACCTTTGGCTTAAACACGCCACATTTACTATGAGTCAGCATTGGATGACCATTACTAACTGCAATTCTTGTATTGTCATCAAGCATTGATTGAGTGTCCTCAGCAATCTCAGGATCTCTTTGACTAACACTTGGAATTTCAGAGATAGCAGCAGACTCAGTATCTAACACTAAGTGTGTAGTGCAGTGTTCAACATTATCTGCAGGTAGGTGAGTAATATCTAGCACTGGAGCACCACCAGTATGCAGCTTATTCATATCCATTATTATATCAAGGGATCTACTCAAAGGCAACTCGAGTGATGACTGTTTGGTAGGCTGATCACTGGAAAAATGGAAAATTTCACTCATCGAACTTCACATTACGAGATATAACAACACGCTTATCAGGTGTTAAACAAAGAAAGCCTTTGTGTTGGGAGCTAATACCCAAGAACGTGCATGGTTGAGATCGAAAATCAAGCTTATGAACATTGAATGGTCTGAGGTGAGGGAAGCATTTATACCCAAACACTCTGAGCGACTCATAATCTAGCTTCTTGTTGAACATACACTCTAAGGGGGAACGTCCAGCTAACACTCTAGAGCGAAGTCTATTAATCAAATGCACAACCATAACTACTGCATATCACCAGTAACTAGTTGGCATGGATGCTTGTGCAAGCAAAAACTAGTGCCAACTCAACAACATGTCTATGTTTGCGTTCCACAACACCGTTCTGTTCTGAGGTGTGTGGACATGTAACAAGATGAGAGATGCCAGCTTCAGCAAGCATTCGGGACAATCGACGATATTCACCTCCCCAATCACTCTGAACAGAAAAAATCTTCAGTCCAAATTGTGTCTTCACAAGTTGTTAAAACAATTGAAATGCATAAGCAGCTTGTGACTTATCCTTAAGAAGGTATAACCACATGTGTCTAGTACAAGCATCCACAAAACTAACATAATACTTGTAACCATTAGAAACAATAGGTGATGGCCCCCATAAATCTGTAAACACAAGCTGGAAAGGCAACTCATACACAGTGGACGAATCAGAAAATGGAAGTTTATGGCTCTTTCCCATATGACATGCAACACAAGTCTTATTAACACTTGTTCAACATTTACATCAAGTAATTTGCATATTTTCCCAAGGGTTCCATGTGCAGGATGCCCAAGGCGTCTATGCCACAGATCATACAGACTATGTGAAGCAGTAACACTATTAGCTTCAAAGGAAACACTCGTATTATTAATGGAATCTACTTGAAACAAATATAGAAAATCCTTCTCATGTCCTTGCAATAACACTTCACCAGTTCCTTCATCATGAACACAACATTGGGAGGCATGAAACTCAAAATATACCCTATTGTCCTTAGCAAGCTTCGAGACCGAGAGAATATTTTTAGTTATCTTAGGGACATGAAGCAAATCATTCAACATCAAAGCTCGAGAAGAAGAACATAAATCAGTTTTACCAAAAGCTTGAATAGAAAGAAAATCTCCACTACCAACAACAATTTTACCTAGGCCAGATAGATCCTTTTGGCTAAGCACCTTGGTTGAGTCAGGAGTTACATGATGTGTAGACCCGGAGTCAACCACCAAGTGATCCCTTGTAGTGGCAGTAACACGAGTCTGAGGCTGTGAGGAATGGAAAACTTGTGTCTCAGCACGAGCTTTTGTGCAGCACACACACTCATCCTCACCAGCAGAAACCGTCTCAAATCTGGAGTAGTTAGCAGAGCCTGACTTACCACGAGCCACAACACGATCTGATGATTGACCAGTAAA